GCAAATCTTTAATGTTTTCTTCTCGTCTGTATTCTGGTCTGTCTCCCTCCTTCCTTTTCCTTCCTTCTACTCTTCCTATTGCCATCTCTTCTTTTCTTCTTTTCTAAAAAAAAAAAAAAACCCAAACAAAAGATGCTGTTGGATTTATGAAGTGCCTCTGAATGCCAGCACGCGTGTTGAATGAAAACAGTTCTCGGCCGCTGCCCTCATGGAGCCAAAGAGGAACTGTACGTGAGTGATAATTGAGCCACAAAGTAACTGTGGAGTTGCAGCGGAGCCTGGAGCTGCAGAGTAGAGTACATGCCACTGTGGAAAGTGACTCTTAGGGGCGTGTTTGCTCTCTGTTGGCTCTTGTGTTATTATCTCTAGCACTTTGTGAGGCCGATATGATGTGTGTGTTGTGCTATTGTATGTGCTGTATGTTATAGATATCTCTCTATACTCTCTGATATGTTGTGTAAATCACCGTCTCTACTAAAAATATTATAATATATTAGTTTTCCGGGCTGTGGGGTGGTTGGCTCTGTTATGTCTCTCTTCAAGTTTTCTGTTTTTGGTATATGGCTGAGCGCAGGAGAATTGGCTTGCAACCTGAATGCTATGTTGTTTTGTGAGTCTCTGATAGTATGTGTTTCTGTCTGATATGTTCTCCTCCTGGTAGTCTCTCTGATGCTGTTCGATATGATGTTTGTTGTTTATTGCTGTGTTTTTGCTGTAATTTTTCTTTCATTTATAGAGAGTATGAGAAGAGAAAGAAAAAGAAAAGAGTGACTCGAGGACAGACTGGCAGCAAGAGAGGGGGTGCCAAGAGGATGAAGCTGAGCGCTGTGAAAGGGATGCATAGGAAACTCACTAGGCAAAGGAGAACTGATGGGGGAGCTGAAGGAAGAGCAATTCTAAGGAGTGGTGCTGTAGGGGTCTCGCAGAGGATGTAATAAACATGTCACCTGTTGTCTTTACCTGAGCTCTGAACAGCAGTGAATTGAGATGAAAGAGTAAGTGCATGCAGGCCAGGTTATCACCCTTTGTTCGGGTGAAGCCGGATTTAGAGGGACTGTGGCTTATATTTCTAGCATGTTGGTCTCTTGAATAGTGAAACCCAGGAATAGGCAGAATTGAACCACCATTTTGGTGGAGGCTGAGCACGTGGAGCCAAGCCGTGGCGGTCGCGAGCATATGGGTGGAGTCTTTTGGGTTGGCTCGCTGCTGATGAGAGGTAACGGGACTGTGTGTGGGCTCCACTGGTGTTCCCTCACTCTCACACGCCTATACCATGTCAGCCATTTCTGGGTGATCATACTTTCCAAAAGCAAGAATATGAAGGGGGCATGTAGATGAGCCAGCCGAGCAATACGTTCATGGATGCCCTTCCACACGGAAGGGAACACTAGTAGTAAAGGAAAGGCAGGAATTGTTCACTCCTAAAAAGTGGAAATGGCACGCTGTCCTAACCAGAGTGTCTCTAACTGAGACATGCCCAGGAAACACCTGGAGATCATGTTAAAAAGCAGATTCCAAGTCATGTAGGGTCTCAGTTGGGGCTATCACGAGTTCTGCATCTTTCTTTTCTTCTCTTGTTGTTTTTTTCTTTTTTTTTTTTTTGAGACAGAGTGTTCACTCTGAGTCTCCCAGGGCTCTGAAATGCGCAGTGGGTGGCCATCTCAGCTCACTGCAACCTCCACCTCCTGGGTTCAAGTGATTCTCTTGTCTCAACCTCCTGAGTAGCTGGGATTACAGGTGTGCACCACCATGCCTGGTTAATTTTTTTATCTTTAGTAGAGATGGGGTTTTACCATGTTTGCCAGGCTGGTCTCGAACTCCTGACCTCAAATGATCCACCTGCCTTGGCCTCCCAAAGTGCTGGGATTACAGGTGTGAGCCACCATGCCCAGCCTGATTCTGCATTTCTAAGAAGCTCCCGGGTGATGCTTATGCTACTGCTCTATGAACCAACTACATGTTGAGCCTTGAGCTGTGAAGGAGCTGTGGTTGGAAGGAACTTGGCATTGACATGGAGCTGGTGAGGCCAGTGTGGTTGGAACGAAGAGTGACAGGGAGAGTGGCGGGAAGGGAGCAGGGCAACTCAACCCCAGGGACCTCTGTGCAGTGCCCTATAGGGCCAGATTTTCTGCCTGATCCCAGAAGCAAAGGATCTTAAGCCACGTGGTGACATGATCAGATTTGTATTCCGAAAGAGTCAGTTTGAAAAGAGCATGGTGGGCTAGGTGTGGTGGCTCATGCCTGTAATCTCAGCATTTTGGGAGGCCAAGGTGGGAGGATTGCTTAAGTACAGGAGTTCGAGACCAGCTTGGGCAACATGGTGAAACCCCATCTCTACAAAAAATACAAAAATTAGCCAGGCATGGTGGTGTGTGCCTGTAATCCCAGCTACACGGAAGGCTGAGGCAGGAGGATTGCTTGAGTCCTAGAGGCAGAGGTTGCAGTGAGCCAAGATGGTGCTACTGCACTCCGGCCTGCGTAATAGAGTAAGACTCTTTCTTAAAAGAAAATAAAAGAGCATGGGGATGAGATTGGCAAGGAGCCAGAGTGGCAGCTGAAATTCTACTGGGTGTGAGGGCAGTTGTCCAGGGGAACATGGGGAGTGGCCTGGCCAAGTGTGTGGCAGAAGAGGTGGGAGAAATAGATGGATTGGAGAAATATTTAGGAAGGCAAGAAGGACTTGTATGACTTGGG